TGCGAGCTGTAACCTGCAGCACGTTCAAACTCGACTCGGCGGGTTAATCTCCGACACCTCTTGTTTTAACGGCGCGGCTTTGATGCCGTAATTGCCGACTTTGGGTTCAAATTGCTGATGTAGGAAGCTCAGGCTGCTGCAAACATTTAATCTTCACGGTGAGCCCTGAATGATTAATTCGCAGCCCAGCAAATGGCTTCCCCGCTCAGCCGCCGGCGCTCTGGATGCCTGGAGTTTATGTTACGCTCCGAGATGTTGACACGTTTCATCATTTGAAATAGTACCAGAATGGAAAATGTGACGATACCTGGCAGGCCGGCTGCAGGATGCTGAGCGCCACCCACACATAGTTTTGGTCAGACTTTGAAAGTACAAAACACCAGTTGCAGTAAATCCTTTGTAGGAAGATAAATGGCGAAACGAAGTCATGGACGCGAATAGTCGTTAAATATCCAAGTTTTTTTTTAGCCTCTAAGTGCTTTTTGTGTCCTCGTGCAGCGGGGAGGATATAGCGGTTAAACGTATCTCAGAGCTAACTTCTTTTATTTGCTATTCAGAGCAGCGAGTATGAATCTTAATAATTAATGCTTTTCACCCAGGATCTCTAGTACCAGTGTTTCACTCGGTAATGACATTTCTCCCTTTAATTGCTCTGTGCCTGAGCAAACATTGTTCTCCACTCTCAGAAAAACTCTCTCTCCCTGTCGGATGCCACATTTAAGAGTCTGTCAGGTTCTGGTTGTTCTTTCTGTGTTTTGCAAGTATTTTCTGGCTGTGGGTTTGTTGAATTAAACATGTGTCTGAGACGTGAGGTTTCACAAATGTTTGAAATTACAATTGTGCTCGTCGAAGGGCTGAAGCGCCTCGACGTGCAGGTTTTGGATAATCCCGTTTCTCCGAGCTTCAGGCGTCTTCCTTGTGCTCTCTGCAGCTACAGGTTATAAAACATCTCTTTCTCTGAGCTACGATAACGGGCATTTCTTCGCCTCACCTTCCCTCCTCGTCTCTCCCTTCATCTCCTTCTCATTAAAGCGAGCCGTGCACACTTTCATAACGTTTTAATGGCCGTGCGCCCGGGCAGCCGCCGAGGATCTGACTCACAACAATTAGAGCTTCTCTTTATGTGATATCATTGCTAATGTGAGTCGTGTGGCGGCGAGCTGAAGGACAGAAGGACAATTATTTTTACCTCGGATGGTAAAGGAACTGCTCGGCGTGTTTATGAAAAACATTACTGTGTGATTACCGTGTGCCACACAATGGTTAAATCATTACCCTGATTGAGAAAACATATTGTAGACAGACAATCAGCGGCCACATAATCGCTGCGCTCCGTTAATGGCTTTGTGTGGACGGCGTGCTAATAAAGACGGTCGGTAATGATGACACACAGTCAGTCCGGCGTCAGGCGCTTGGTTCTGCTCACTATTTGTAAAATGGATCCCGACAAAACAAAGATGCAAAGCCATTAGTGCAGGAGGTGACAAATTGCTGTTAAGAGGGAGAGAGAGCTTCAATGCACATCCAGCCAGACGCAGAATATCAGCGAACGAACACCAAACACACATTTTCTGTCGCGTTTATTCCACAGAAAGTCATGCAAAGTAGATGCTGCAGCTCGACGAGTCGACGGGCCTGTGTGAGGAGGAGGATGTTTGGTTTGGAGTTAGATTTTAGATAATTTACTCAGTCTGATGATACAGTGGGCTGCAAGGTGGAGCAGTGGTTACCATTGTTGCCTCGCAGCTAGAAGGTCGCCGGTTCGCAAAAATAAAATCATTATTTGGCCTTTATTGATAGTGCAGTGAGAGAGAGACAGGAAAGTAGGGGAGAAGAATGTGTGGGAAAGGGCCATGAGTGGGATTCGAACTCATGACTGTAGCCCTGCACACAGGATGGCAGCTCAACCAGGTGAGCTATAGCGGCGCCTCACCCGGGATCTTTCTGCGTGGAGTCTCCATGTTCTCCCCGTGCAGCGTGGGTTCTCTCCGGGTTCTCCGGCTTCCTCCCACAGTCCACAAACATGCTGAGGTTAATTGGTGATTGTAAATTGTCCGTAGGTGTGAATGTGAGTGTGCTTGGTTGTCTGTCTCTAAGTGTAGCCCTGTGATAGACTGGTTACCTGTCCAGGTGAACCTGCCTTCACCCTGAGTCAGCTGGGATAGGCTCCGCCCCCATGACCCTGGTGAGGATTAAGGTGTAGAGATGATGGATGGATGGATTTATTCCACAGAAAGTAATGCAAAGTAGATGCCGCAGCCTGACAAGTAGGCAGGCCTGTGTGAGGTGGAGGATATTTGGTTTGAGGTTAGATTTTTGAACAATTTACTCAGTCTGATGATACAGTTTCACCAAGTTTGACTGTTTTTATAACCATGTACCTGCGCTATACTTCCTCACCGGCACTCCCACCATTACAGATAATTATCAATCTAAGCCCTGCTGTGCAGTTTTATAAACAGCAAATGTACCTCCCGGGCTGCTCAGTGTAACTAAAGGTGTGTTAAAGTTTCTTCAATCCAGAGCTGCTACCCCGTATACACTGAACTCTTAAAGGGAGGAGTTAAAGATCCTTCTTCCTGCTCTAATTAAAACCTGTGAAGAGGTAGAGCTAATATGAAGTATGAACTTAAGCAGGCATCTTAATATCATTTGTGATGAGCGGGCAGCAGCAGCAGCAGCTTAAGCTGGGGGATGAACCGGGCCCCTCCGGTGCATGTGAGGAAATGGTGCTTCTAATTAACTTCGGCAACATTAGAACCTGGTATCTGTGGCGCAGCAAATTGATTTAGCAGCCGGGCTCATAAACTCTCTGCAGCGTGCAGTAATTATCACAGCAATTTTTTTTTATTTATTTATTTTAATTTTCCCATAGCTGATTGCTAAAACAGCGAGCGAAAAGAATCCGCCTTTGTGTTCCTCGTGTTATTTCTGTGTGTGTTTAATTTGTTTTACAGCAATTTTGCTTAGTCTGTCGTTTTTCTGGAGGACGTACAGAACCCTTGTGTGAGCCTCATGATCGGGAAATTCTGTTTCTGGATTACTTTTGTTTTACTCTGCAATAAGTTTTGCATTTCTAGATGAGACGATACAAAACCTGCATAGTCGAGTGCAGCTGGTCGTGGTTCCAGCCAGAATCGTCCTCAGCTGTGACTGCCGGAGTTCAAGTCTGCATCGCTGCATCTCAGCTGTTTGCTCTCTGACCAGTCACCGAGCAGGCTGATGGTGACAGACTGTGATTATGAGCCACAGTCACGCCACGGCTGCACTTCAGTTGTTAGAAACCTGGCGGTGACACATTAGTTGATAACGGCTGCCACATTAATGCTGCTGCGATGGTCTTCAGCGTCCCCGTGTTCCTGACCTCATGTCGTTTGTTTGTAACGCATCTGTCATAGAAGCACTTCAGGTTCAAACAGCTCGACATGTAGACAGCAGCAGAGATTCAACCACAGCTGAGCAACAACTACGTCCAGCTACAGTCTCAGCCAAGCAGCTGCAGCTGTGCTCGCAGCCAGTGGGTGTACACCGACATCACCGTTTTTAAAATAAGTCATGAGCAATGAACTGCATCACATTAGGAGTCACCTCTCTCTATAGTATCTGGTGTTTTTCCCCCTTCAACTGGCAGCATCTTGGAAACTGTTCATAAGGGTTGCAAAAGTTATTATTGTGAGGGGAAACAAAAATAGTCGAGAGAAAAATCCTCGGAGCAAACGTAACCTGTTTAGAAACATAAGATATGAAAACAACAGTTTGTGGTTTGAGGGGAATTTACATGCTGAAAATATCAAAGGTTTCCACCTCAGTGTGACACATCCGTCAGCCGCCGCGCTGCAACCACCGGCGCATGAAGTTTACAGCATCGATTATCTCGTTACAGCGCTGCTGCGTTCTGCTGGTAAACTTCTGGGTTCTGACATTCACGTGGGTGTTACTCTGACATGTACCACCCACCTCAGCATTGTTGCAGTCCAAGAACACCCCCTCATACCAGCAGCACTCTCCAGCAGGACCGCTCGCCCCGAAACGCTGCAGAACCAGCTGAGGAGCGGCTCGATGAACGCCCAGGACGTGTGATCGAGGATCCTCAGGACACCCAGAGGTCCTGCTCACATGACCCAGTGGGCCTGAGCTGGTTTGGCACACAGAGAGCGCACACATGATGTTAAGCAGGTGGCTTTAATGTTGCGGCTGCCCAGTTTCCAGTTATAACGCAGGGCTGCAGAATCCGGGCTGTGGTTTTGGTCTCCGTACAGGCCAAATATCAGACTAGCGAACCTGCTAACCGCACCACAACGCCGCCAATAATTACTGTATTTGTGCAATAATTTAGTTTCTTATGCGATGTGTGATCAATAATTTCAAAAACTCCTAAATGTGCAACAACAGTTTAATGTTTTCAGAGTGGAATCAGCCTGATGGTTCCTCAAACGTTATCAACCGCTGACCCTGCATCAAACACACGAACGGTTCAGCAGTTTCCCATCTTTACGCTCAGTTCCTGACCACATCCCTGCTCCCACGCTGTGTCTGCTGATTTATTTTATACAAGTTGCTTGCCACATGCCTGTTTGTTTACTGGTGCTGCTAAATGTTGCGGTTTGTAGCTGCGCTAACTGAAGACGATGTGCTTTCGAAGCCTCCAGTAGCGGCTGATCCGTGAGGCTCCCTGCGTGCACTAACATGACCTCGAGGGCTGGATCCTTTTGTTTTTTACACCTCTGACTCACAAACGGGGGGATGCCTCCCTGCAGACACGATGATGTTGCACCTCAGCCACATGTGCGATCCAGACAGGGTGCAGGGTGTTGCACTGTTACCTTCTGTAACCCATAGAGGTGTAGAAATGTGTCCAGTAGAACCACATCCATCGCAGCACTTGTTTAAGCTGTGTAGTATAACGTAGCGCCATTCTTTGCAGATATAAATCTAACTTGTGCTTTAAATGAACTTAAAACAAAATGTAAACAGCCGACGTCCTGAATGTTTTTCCTCAGACTCGACTAAGAAGCTGAAGGATGTGCTGCAGGAGTTCCATGGAGATGGCGTGTTGGCTAAATACAACCCAGAGGAGGTACGTTCAGTTTACACTGCCTTATATAACACGCAGCTCATAGTCCATCGATGCCAACACGTGTGCATCCGTCTGTGTGTAAATGGAAAAATTCTTTGACATTTAGACACTTTTTTGGTTGCTATAGTTGCTTTTCTTTGCGTAAATGAATTATGTAAGTGATTTGAAGCATTGAATTTGCCAACAATTAAACATGAAATGAAGTTTAGAGCAGTTCCTCTAAATGGTCTTTACAAATTTTGCTGTGGTTTGTTAAAAATCTATCCACACACAGCAGAACTATAAACCGAAAAGGCATAAAAATAAATGGAACAAAGGGCAATGAAGGGTTCCCTCTGTTATGTTTGGGAATAGGTGATGGACTAATAGTTGCTGCATGATACGTCTTTAATTTAGTGGCTGTACAAGAACATATCTGACATGAATATTTTGTGCATTTTAAGTGTTATACATAAAAGCAAGAACATGTCGAGCTTGTTTCTTTCTTGCATGCTGCCGACTGCAGAAGCAGGAAATCCTCACGCAGGTAACCGCCGTCTCTTCCTCTCTGATTTACTGTTGGGGTTTTGCTGAGCGCTCAAATAGCTCCTCGCTGAGTAACGCAACTCTCTCAAGTAGGGATGAAGCAATAAAAAAAACTAAATCAGCATTTTCGAGGACATGCAACCACTTAGAGGGAAATATTACACACTTAAGGTGTCCTCCACTCACTGGTAATAAGTATGAGCAAAATGCAAGACCTCTGTTTTGTGTCAGTCTATGCAAGACTCACAGATTCAGTCCATAAGATAAATAATCTATCAAAGCTGTTTGCTGTAAAGGTCCCCGATGCAGAACATGAATCCACAACATTTTGCAAATGATCACAGATTTTCCCAAAAAAGCGAAACACGACAGCGACTCTGTTCGTATCAAAAATCATCTGTGTTTCCTTGTAACCTGTAGCTCTCCGCTACAAGCTGCGTGTTCTATTCCTGTCTTGGTTTTTTTTAGGAGATTGACTTTGAGGGCTTCAAGGTCTTCATGCAGACGTTCCTGGAAAGTGAACTCCCCGAAGAGTTCTGTCAACACCTCTTCATGTCGTTTAGCAACAAGGGACCCAAACCCAGTCCCTCATCCTCTGACAAACCTCGAGTCTCTGGTAAGTGTAGGAGGGAGATTCTTCTCCCTAATAAACACTCGGCTCATAAACACAGCATGCTGGTGTTTCATAGATACCGACACATATATACATACATAAGAAGCCTTTTTGTGTTGCCGTGTGCAGCCGGTCTGTCGGTTGTTTTCTGCCCTCACAGCGTCTCTCCAGTGGCTTGTTGTTGTTGCCACTTTGCCTCGCCATTACCAGAAATTTTAATTTCTGTTGCTGTGTAAAAACGCCACCATTACTGTTCCTGTTGTGTGCCGTCAGATAATTTATCCGATTTACTGCCAAGTCCGGCCCGGTGGCACCGAATGTAAATTGTAGTGCGGCGGCTGCCAATTGTCTTGGCAAGAGTCTTGTTTGTTTATCGCATTTCTACTAACATCTCATTCTTGTGGGGTAATGACTAACTGATATAAAAATGACACTTAGTCAGACCGGCGCTGGTCCACTCAGCGTTCCCCCTCCTGCACTGACACTTGGCTGCACACCTCCGTGACTGCCTACTATCAGAGATGAATAATCGCGGCCGGTCTCCCAAGAAGAGCATCAGTCATTTCAGTGAGTGGCTCAGAATGACATCCAGCATGTTGAAGCGGTGAAGCTCTCCAGAGGCAGTAGTAATTCTGACAGAAGCAAAGACGGACTTCAGCGAGGCGGTGGACGTAGTGGTCAACAGAACGATGGGCTTTAACACAGCAGATTTCCAACCAGGAGTCAACAGTTTCTATTAAAACAGCACCTTAAGTGATAATTACATATCCATTACTGTGACCATGATGACGAGGCTCATTAATCCAAGATGTCGGTGAAGATTCTCAGTCCTCCAGGTCATCGTTGTTCTTGTAGTTTAGTCGTAGCAACTGGACTTGCTTGAGTTCCTTGAAGACGTTCCACCTCTCATCCAAGAGGCTTCATCAGCTCTGACTGACTATTTGGGAGATCCAGATGCTTATATCCTTAAGGAGCCATTAACACCTGAGTTCTGGTTTCAGTTGGGGGTTTGTTGCTCCTCCCCCTCGTTATGTGAGTCTCATTAATCCAAGACATTTTTGTGTCTAAACCACTGACTGTATATAAAGATGGACAAACCCTCAGATTTTCTCAAAAAAATGAAAAAATACATTTTTAAAATTCAATCTAGGGGCTCGGCCATCATCATCTCGGCATAGTCTGGCTCCTAATTCCTGGCTAATCTAACAACGGAATTAAATAATTCAGATTTAAAGTCTTAATACAAGTCAAATGGATGAGTTATACAAACAAATCATCCGCTGTACAGTTGTCTTGAATTGGGAAATTAGCTATACGGACCAAAACAGTGTTTATTTTAAGTTGTAAACATGTTTTCTTCTGCTGTAAAGTTGGACATTTTAACGTGGAGGTCTGTGCAGATTGGCTCACTTTTGGAGCCTCAAGTGGTCGTTCAAGGAACTGCAGCTTTTGACACTGCCATATGGTCTAAACCAAACCAAACCTTTGTTATAACTTCATCACAACGTTGTACAGATTTGTTTTAACAATGAAAAATATCCTGATCACACCAATGTCTTGTTCTTCAGGTAATTAAAAAAAACAAAAAAAACAATGTAGGGCATTTAATATGTAGGACTTGTTAGCTCACCTGTAATCCAAAGATGTCAAATATCAGATCATAACACTGTCCTACAAACTTCTGATCAAAGCACATACAACCAGAGCTCATAAGTATTCTGACAGGAATTTCATTGGACTTCAAAAATGGGACACAAGCAAAGTCTAAAAACAAAATGATCTTGACTCACAGCTTTGAGAAAGGAAAGCCATCCTCAGATTTCTTCGAGACCACTTTACCTGAAAGTTTTGAGACTTTCATGACAACTTATTTTAAGGATGAGGTTTCTTCCCAACATGGGAATCGTGCAGTTTTGGGCTTCAGCACGTTACCAACTTCTGGAAGCTTAACAATAACTGAACATATACATCAAACTATAGCTCTGAATAACTGTGATGTCAAGTACAGTTTTTACAATCGTGGAATTGCCTCTTGATGCTTCTTTCACATCATTTATTCTGCATTAATGTTAGAGATTGAACAACACAATCAATGTAAACTAGAGCGAATAAAGTCGCTGGTTTCGTTCAATAACTGGAGGCTGAAAACTTTCTCACTGAAAAGTAAAACGAGGTTGCCACAACTGTAAATCTAAAAATACAGTTGGGGACTTCCACGCTGGCATGTTTTCAGGCTAAAACATATTTTCCCTTAAAGTGGCCGGCGACGTAGCGTAGCAGTGAATAAAGTGATAATCATAAAGTCGGTCACGCTTAAAGAAAAAAGAAGCTGATTCTAAAACTAAAATACGTTGAATGTCGTTGACTCTTGTCAGTGGTAATAAAAAGATGTGTAGCTCCATGTTTCTGGGTTCAGTGTGCGGTCTCTGTGCTGCACCACAAATAATGTTGCTTACAAACGTGTAAATGCGATTTACATACACCCCAGAGAGGAACAAAAGAACCACCATATGTTGGGTTTTATATTTGACTTGAATGCTGAGATCTGTTTGTCAGCTCTAACCAGAGCGGTGAATCGATGAGGGGGGGAGTGTTAATGACTTAACGTCGTGTATTGATCTCCACCCTGCCATTAAACGCAACGAGACGAGGCCTTGAAATGCTGTTGTTTGTTTGGCGAACTTGACACCACCCACCATTGATCAGTCTGCGGATATGACTGATGTCGGGCATTCTGAGCCAGCAGGTTGCAGGGCTAAAATTAGAGGGATTGTGGAGGATGTTTTGACCTTTCCTGTGTCTCCCTCCAGGCCTGAAGCTGATCAAAGGCAACTCGACCCCTCTGAAGACGCCCGCCCTGCCCCGGCCTCTGGAAACAGTGCAGCTCAAGGACATCGTGTGTTACCTGTCGTTGCTGGAGGGCGGGCGTCCCGAGGACAAGCTGGAGTGTGAGTATCACGTTCTTATATTAACGTGCAGCAAACATTACGATCAGACGGTGGAAAAGTCCTAGATTTATAAATTGTACAGATGCAAGAAACACTGTGAGCCTCACGTACACAAATAAAACACACCAGCCAGACAGCTGAGCCACCAAGAGGCAGAATAAATGTCAGCGGCTGAGTTAAAGCTCAGTGGGAGGAGGGCGGTTGTTCAGGCTCAGCAAGGTCAGACTGAATCCCAGAGAAAAAGACAAAGGCTAAGAGAGGATAAAGCCACGCGTCTTTGCTCAGAGACGTGTCCCGGTCTGTACAATCTGCCTGTCGGATGTAAAATAACCACCTCGTGTTCAGAAATGAGTCGAAGCAGCCGCTGTGAAAACAAACCAACATGTCATTGAAGTCTGAAAAAAATAAGTGTGAAATGCGTCCGTTAAAATTTCCTAAACTGGTTCTTCTCCAGGAACTGCTCATTCTTGTTTAGCGTTTTTATTTTGTTTGTGAACCTTCGTTCCTCGCTTGTGACTGTGCTCTCAGTACTTGGTTTGAACTCTGAGAAACTCTGGAGTAGACCGATCATCCTGACAGTCTTTATTCAACTAATACCACACAGAACTCATTATATGGTACATTACCCATGAGCCTTCACTGTTGATTTAAACTGTTGTTCTAATGTTTTAGGTTGTTATTTTTTTTGCGATTCTGGGTAATTAATCAGTGCATTCAATCAAACTTAGCTTTTTTGTCCTGTTTTCTTCCCTGCCAGTGAAAATATGAACCAAAATCAGCTCCAAGCGATGCAACATTTCGGCTTTCTGGACTCAGAGGTGCCCTCTGGCTGGAGCTTGTGTTCATAACCGATCATCAAATAAAACCCCATCTATTAAACCGTTTCCTGTACGTTGACAAAGGAGTTGGCAGCTCATCGACACATCTCTTAATTGCATTTGTCACATCATTTATTCACAGGGTTGCGCTGCTTGGACAGCCACCTTTTTTTTTTTAATGTGTTGCAGTAATTGTCATCCGTACGCTGAATTATTGAGCAGAGCGGTGCTCATTAAGTGCTTGGATGACTAAATAATTCAACCGACGCTGCCCGTGTGCGAACACATGATGGAATTAACTTATTGAGCAATCTCTCTCCCCGTATCCCCGGTCGTCTCCTCCCGTGTGGGTCCCACATCGCTGTTGGTTCTGTAGTGGACGGGGCCCTCTGCTGGTTGGTTTGAGAGCTGCTCGTGTTTCGGTGCAGTTTGTTCAGGCTGGTTGGGTGCTGATCAATGGAAATGAGCAGTTTGTGGCAATCTGTAGCTGGTTGGTGTCACTGCTAAGCCATCTGTCTTGAAACTTTGTCATGAAATAATTGATCTAACTTCAGTGCAGATTCTCTTGTTTCATGTGTTTTTGCAAGATGTCACCTTTTCCGATGATCCCAGTTACAAATGTCTGCATTGGCTTCAACATAGGACTGACCTTATATCCTGTTTTTTATGAAATATGAACACAAACTAATAAAAGGCGCTTATTAAGTCATTAATCATTTCACTTAGAAGCAAACTTAATCGGTACCGACATGCAAACCCGACAAAAACATCCCCAAACATTTGGTCTAAAAGTAGACTGAGCTGGTCTAGAAAATAAACTGTTGTCTTGTTGAGTCTCTAAAATATCCTGAAAACAATTTTAGTATTTGATATCCAAATGTAATCCAGTTTCTCTCCAGCATCAGATCAAAATGTCTGAATTCCAGATGACAGGAAATAATCAGGAAACTTCTTGTTGTGAGTTGAGCTACTTTAGAAATCTGGCCAAAATGAAAATTAACTTTAAGAGGAGATTCGAGTGATTAAAAGATTTTCCATTTCTCCCTGCGACACATTCAGGCGGCATCCCATCACCGTCTGCACTTTATTGCCTTCTTGGGGCGTCTTTGGGTCACCGCAGCCACCTCCTTCCAACACCATAAACCTCCACCCAACACCAAACACCAGACACCGGCATCACCTCCCTCCTCCCGTCGCTCCGAAAGGTCACACCCCCTCAGGAAACTGGCAATTAGCTCCTCGTTAGTGGCCTGACGAACGGCCGGTCTGACGTCAACTCTTTATGATGTCAGCAGCCCGGCCGAGCTGGGGGCGGCGGCGGTGGGTTGGAGCGTTTCTATCTATAGGCATTAGCATGGAAATGATCTGCAGCCAGGTCAGAGCTGTAAGCTGTCACGACTCGGTGTGACGTTCGGCGACAGCCAATCAGGGCTTTGATGTGGGACCTGTCTGTTGCCATGGCGACGCTTTTGAGTGGTAATTGGGGGACACTTAAAGTTGCAGCATTCAGATGCTTCCAGCTGCTGAGATATGGGCTTTGTTTTGCTGCGCTGAAGTGCACAGTGACATTCACGGAGAAGAGCGCCGCGTAGGTTGCTGCCAAAAGCTGCTCCGGGCCTTTTAAACGTTCACTGTAAGCGCTGAGAAGGCTGCAGGGAGTTGACATTTTGTTTTTCTCTTGTCTCCACAGTCATGTTTCGCCTCTATGACACAGACGGAAACGGGTCTTTGGACAGCTCGGTAAATATTTCCCCTCGTAAAGAGTGTTTTGGTTTTAAATAATTGTTATATTCAGATGTGCAAACTCATCCCACTCCCCAGAAATCAGATTATTTGAGTCCTTTCCCATGACTTTTACAACGAAGGGTGTTCAAAAGTCAAACTGAAATCAAGATTCAGCTCAAGTTTTATTTGCCAGCTGTAAAATTTTAATTAGCTAATTATTTGTTTGTGTTAAATGTCAGAAAATGTCAGAAAAGACCTGACGAACCATCAGTTTATTATCACCGGCATCAATAAAAAGAAAAACAACAAAGTGCCAAAATCGAGCAGCTAGAAATGAATGTGTGTCGCAGGCAGCCAGCTCGTCATCCCTCTCTGTCTCGCTTTGCCTTTATTCTCTATCTTCCATTTCTGTTTCTCTACATCCACCTCTACGTATCTGTCGTTTATCCTCCATCCATAAATCTAATTAAACAGCCATTCTACGCTGCATTGTCTAATCCTGGACATGTAATCCTTCAACAGCCCAAACGATGAATGAAAGCAAATGAATGGACGAATAAAAGAGAAGACGGACAACAAATGTGGGCATATTTATGAATGAAAGAGCTGCAGAGTTTATGTTTATAGGCAGCATAAAGGCAGGAGCTGGAATTAAAGGGTTAAACAGGAGAGGGTGGGCTGGGTGGAGGGGGGGTTGTAATCTATCCAATTATTAGTCACACAATATTGGCAGAAAGAGTCACGACAAAAGGACACAGAATACACACAAAAAACAAGATATTCATTCACTATCACCCAAATTATACTCAAGATTTTCCAGTAAATTAAAAGTGTGAAATCTTGATTTGCACTCTTTCTGACACTCCAGGATCTAAAGAAGTCCAGAGAGCATCACAGTGATTCACTGGATAATAATGTCACCCTCCTCTGCCCCCGCAGTCCCTCCAAAAACCAACCATTGTAATTAAACCATCAGCTGCAGAGCTCTTCCCACGCTGCCTTTGTTTCCCGACTCTCATGTGCGGAAGAATGACATTCTCAACCCGCTATTAGCGGCTGTTTATCACGCCAGAGACATTTAGTGACATCGGCTTGTAAGGCTGCAATACACAGAAAGGTAAATACTGTATTTTTGTGCCTGTAATGACCGTCTGTGGTTTCGCCGCAGGAGCTGGAGCACATTATCTCCCAGATGATGCATGTGGCCGAGTACCTGGAGTGGGACGTGACTGAGCTGAAACCAGTAAGAAAGACAAGAAATATTTGTATTTATTATGCTTTAAATGACATCTGTTGACGGACATTTTTAACATTTTGAGGGCTGACAAGTTGTTTTTTAAGCCATGTTACCACAAAATGTTCACATATTTTACACTCCAGCTAAGGCAGCACCTGTCCCACTTCTTCCTGACTTCTCTTCTTGCTGCTGTAGATCCTTCAGGAAATGATGCGAGAGATCGACTATGATCACGACGGCACCGTGTCCCTGGGCGAGTGGATCCAAGGAGGTCTGACCACCATCCCACTGCTGGTCCTGCTGGGCCTGGAGACGGTGAGACGCTGACTGCTGGCTATCAGGAGGCACAGCTAAGAAGAAAACTCTCACTTCTGACTAATAATGACAATAATAAGTTCATTTTTATATTGCAGCGTTCTCACACAAAGTTTAAAAGAGCTGCACAGAGCAGAATGCAAAGGATCGAAAACAAAGCAGACAGATGTGGTAAAATATATTAAGAACAAATTAAAATATAAAAGCAAAAATATATTAACCACAATAAAAACATTAAAGATAGTGGGATCCAGTCTGAGAGCCTTTGGGAGGGAATCCATCACTTTGGGCACAAACGGCAAAGACAAGGTTCAGGATTTGTTCCTATTTTTGTGTCAACATAGCCGGTAAACAGCTGAGATGATCTGGTTTAATGTGTTAACTCTCTATTAACATGCCGACTTTTACTATTTAGCACCAAACATGAAGTATAACGATGATGATTGAATGATTCAGCGATGAGTAAAGTCACTACTTTTGCAGATATTCATAAATCAAATTACCGGACAAACCAGAATTTGATTTGGTGTAAGATGAGACCAACATGTACAACAACCCAAGTTTCTCTGTATGATTTTCACAACAGATCTTCATAAAACAAGCCTCTTCCTGACATGCACGCTTTTCTGTTTTCCACCAGGTTCAGATTTCAGTGAAAGTTGCAGCAATAGTTGAACTTGGTTGGACCAGGTGACATTTCATTGTCTGAACTCTATGCTGTCATTCATATCAACAGACAGGACATGTTGATCTGAGAAAGGCTTTTTTCACACTGTACCACATAAATTGGTCCAAAAACATCCCATAAAGCAGCAGACACAGTTCAAATCACGAATCGCCATCCCTCATTCATTTGTGTGTCCATGGAAATGAAACTTGACAAAGTGAAGCTTATCTTGTTGCTTCCAGCTGTTGGTAGGAGTCTGTCCTTTGAGTTTATTGAACACCTGCAGCATCAGACAGGATCCATATGAGCTTCTAAGCAGCTGCAGCTTCAGGACTTACTGATCAGTTATCATGAAGATAGCAGCGATCAGCACGAAACAGGAACTGATGCTGTTTACTTTCCTTCACGTCAGACGGGCTGAAGGTTTAGTAGTGCATTATTCTTCTACATGCACGTGATGTTCTGTCCAACCTGTTTGACAAATATTGTGCATGTTCCGTGGTTCTGTCTGAATGAAGCCGTGAGGAACCCACTAGTGTCTGAATGACAGATTGGAGCCACATGAACATGTAGTGGACTGTCTGTGGACTGTAATGGACGAAAGCTTTAACGGTCATTTTGGAAGAGATGAATAACAAAGGCTGCACGGTGGCTCGGTGGGTAGAAGCGAGAAGGTCGCAGGTTGGCGTCCCGGTGAGGACACCCGGGATCTTTCTGTGTGGAGTCTCCATGTTCTCCCCGTGCAGCGTGGGTTCTCTCCGGGTTCTCCAGCTTCCTCCCACACAGTCCAAAAACATGTTGAGGTTAATTAGTGATTGTAAATTGTCCGTAGGTGTGAATGTGAGTGTGCTTGGTTGTCTGTCTCTAAGTGTAGCCCTGTGATAGACTGGTTACCTGTCCAGGTGAACCTGCCTTCACCCTGAGTCAGCCTGTGACCCTAGTGAGGATTAAAGTGTAGAGATGATGGATGGATGGATAACATGGCAGCTTGTTGATGCATATGCTGCGTGACAGAGCCTTGAGGCCAAACACCTCAATCATCTGGATAGAGAGCACATATGACTTTGAGCAAGGCACTTAAGCCCATGCTGCCCAACTGGACTCATGACCAACAGCTACCAGATACCAAGCGGTGCTGCCAGTCAGTCAACCTGATGTGTTTTATAACATCATCACAGCACCTATTAATAGTTAAGCTTCTGCTGCTTACACGGTGCCAGGGGTGTCCAATCCTGGTCCTCGAGGGCCACAGTCCTGCATGTTTTAGATGTTTCCCTTCTTCCAACACACCTGATTCAAATGATCAGCTCATCATCAAGCTCTGCAGAAGCCTGATAACAATCCTGATCATTTGAATCAGAGGGAAACATGCAGGATTGTGGCCCTTGAGGACCAGGACTGGACACCCCTGCACAATATTTTATGTTCACCTGCCAAAACTTGACGTCTCTCACATCCCACGAGTGTAAATTGACTTTTTCAGTCTTGTTTCAGATCCTTCCAACGAGACTATGATTAAGTTAATGACGCTCAGATCTCATACATCTACAGTGGTTCTTTAATAGCTTCTAATTCGCTGTAAATTACTGCGATTCATAGCGTTAACCAGATTTCAAACATAAATCCAAACTGAGCCGTTTCATTTTGGGGCCTCGCTGCTGAACCTGATAATCCGAGGAGGCAGCATGCATGATGTGTTTCATAAACCAGATATTCTGTTGAGGTTGTTTCCAGAAAACATCTCTGCTGCTGCTTCACAAACCATCAGTTCATGATTTCCCCACTAGGTGGAAGCATTTGACCAGCTTGAATAGAAATCCATACCAGATGTCTTTTTTATTTTTTTTGTGAATGAATTTTACTACAGAAAAAGGAGACAGCACACTTCTGTCCTCGCTGAATTTGGATCAGTTCACCGGAAAAGTAAAATAGAAACGAAACGCTTTTTGTGCAAAATTCAACCGGTGAGACGATCAACAAGCCAAATAAATCAGTGGCATGATTAACTGAGAATATGAAGTGATGTAATGAAGCAGTCAATCAGCAGTCATTCAATCAATTAATCATTAGTTCTGTTGTTTCGCTGCAGAACGTGAAAGACGACGGGCAGCATGTGTGGCGACTGAAGCACTTCAACAAGCCGGCCTACTGTAACCTGTGTCTCAACATGCTAATTGGACTGGGGAAGCAGGGACTCTGCTGCTCGTGTGAGTAATTCACTTGCTGTTAAGCGTCTGACAGATTTATTCAGACAGGTGCGATGCGATATAATGGGCATGTGTGGTCTTTCATGTGTCGCGTTTCCAATATGATTGTGATCATATTTACATAAAAATAACTGACAGCTTATTTCATCACCTGGCCTTGGAATAGATATGTAATTAGCCTGTTAGCCTCCGTGCTCGGGGATCGTCCACAAGCTGCTTTTCCAATTTGAGTAAATGTTAAAGATGTCAAAGGATTCATCAGAAACTATCAAATGAGGAGAAAAAAAGAGAAAAACAAGCCACGCCACAACAGACTACATAGTTTTTATTTTTAAATTCTGCTTGTGTTTTAGGCCCAATTTGTTTTTAATTCATAGTGCACACAGTGCTGCTGCCTGCACACAAGCTGTTTTTCCACAAAATATTGGCAGTAAGCGCCTTCAGCACAGCTTTTCCAAACACATTACTCAAACCCTAGTGTACGTTTTTTTATATGTATGTAACCGTATATATAATGTCTGCTTTTCTTTCCTCTATGTTCCATATTTTCCTAATTGAAAAAATTAAAATACCCTCTTTTTTTTTTTCCTTTCCCAGTCTGCAAGTACACAGTCCACGAGCGCTGCGTGGCTCGTGCGCCGCTGTCTTGCATTAAAACCTACGTCAAGTCCAAGAAAAACACAGAGGTGCGTCCAATTGAAGTGTTTACCAGTCGGCACGCTTGGATCAGCAATGCTCCGCGGAGCTTAGGACGAGGGCTTCTCTTCCTCTAATGGAATTGAAACAACTCAGTGTGCCGCTAAGCATTGCTAATTACCAGGACGAGCCCAATTTAGACACAAACAGCATCATTTGTTGGGCGTCTTTCCGTCTTTCGGCTCTTTCCTCGTTCCCTCTTGCTTGTTTGCTTTCCCCTCTTGCTTTCTTTAATTGTCGTGTCACTTTGTGCCTTTGTATACGTCTTGTTTTTCTGCACCGTGTTTCTTTTCTCACTTCTTTGCCTCCCTGTACTGCTGCCTCTCCCCTCTCTCCGCAGGTAATGCATCATTTCTGGGTGGAAGGGAACTGCCCCACCAAGTGTGACAAGTGTCACAAAACCATTAAGTGTTACCAGGGCCTGACTGGGCTCCACTGTGTGTGGTGTCAAATCACGGTAAGCCGCCACCCGAGGAGAGGCAGCCACCTCCTCATTATATTCCCACTGCTTCTTGTTGTTTAGGGATTCGTTTTTGCACCTCAGACATCCCACCAATTTACACTCAGAAAACACTTGTTTTCAGTTGCAAGTTAATAGAAAACAAAACAGAGGCGGCGACACATGTAATGCAAATAAATGCCCAGAATGCACTTGAACCTGTGCAGCCGAACACGCCGGCGTTCAACGCGGGCTGGTTGCTAATCATGTTTGCCACCTCCTCCAGCTCCATAACAAGTGTGCCTCCCATGTGAAACCCGAGTGTGATTGCGGACCCCTGAAGGATCACATCCTGCCCCCAAACTCAATCTGCCCCGTCGTCCTGGTAAGACTTGGCTCCTCACCGGTCAGCGCTTCTGAGTCTGAGCGAGCCTGACCTCGTTTGACGCTCGTGTTATCTGAGGATCCAATCGTCAGCCTGTGTTCTCCCACTGAGCTCCGAAAAGGGCAGCAAATGATTTTTTGGGGGGAGTTTATTTCCAAAACGTCTCAAGTTTGTTTGTTTGGAAGTAAAACACGAATTATCTAAACTTCTGTGGCAGAAGTTTTAAAAAAAAAACAGGCAGGATAACAACCAGATATTGAGTTCTTGTAGTAGGTTTATGTGAAATGATGAGTTCTGTAAAGGAAGTTGTTCTGGAGTTCAGAATCTGCATTTAGGCTGAGCTGTGATTTCACGTTAAACTCATATTTCCAAGTAAGTTTGTGGAAAATTACAGTCAAATTTAGTGACGCTGATTTATTTACCGACATGAAGGTTAAACTGATGTCGTCCACGCTGCTGCCGGGCATCTGTTTGAAATTTACCAAATCTGTGTTTATTCATTTATTTGTAGTCAGAAAAGATATAAGTCGGTTTGAGTGTGTGCTGCACCTCAAGTTGTGCCTGTTTTGTGTCTGTCCCTGTATTTAATATGCACAACAAGTAAATGAAGATGCATGTGAAGTAAACGTCTGCCCTTTGACCTCAGGAACGGCAGTCAACGCTGAGGAAAGACTCCCGATCCAGCCAGTCCAGCCGAGGGAAGATGCAAAGAGCCAACTCGGTGACCGTCGACGGCCAAGGCCTGCAGGTTACGCTCAAATCCGTCTCTTTTTTTTATCATAAATGTTGTATTTTATGTGTTAATCTGCACCTTGCTTATGGTATAGATGTACTACATGCAATCTCAGTGACCACTTACACTTGATTCATCTTATTTTTGTTGTATAGATCTCCCTGATTATATAATTCTGTGAGGTCATGAAAGGCCCAAGCTGCAGAAATGCTCCTTTTAAGTTCTTAATTCATAAATTTATTCTGTTTTAAAATGAGTCACCACCTCAGTAGTGAGTGAAGCTTTGACTGGACGACATTTGACCGTCTGGTTGTTGGATCTGAGGGGTCTCGGTTCACAGTTAGAGGTCACATGATAGGAAATCTAAAACAGAGCATTCTGGGATTTACAGACAAATGAAGCAGAGTCGTTGTAAAACAGCAGCAAACACACAGAGAACTGCTTTCATTTGCTTTAGAATGAACCTGAGCGGTGGGTATTGGGATGCGTGACGGGACTCTGCGGGCCCTGCTGGTAATCTGTATCACACGGAGCCCAGTCCGGCCCGGTCCTCTCTAATGTCTGTCAGCCGGCATGCCGGCGATGGAAACCTGCCGCCGTCTGTGGCGACTGCTCGTCTGCGCGTGGCTGGGAGAGAAATATGATGAATCATATCCCAGGCACATCCATCTATGCCGCTCGCTGGCTAACCAGCGTAATAATCAAGATTATTATTTATAATTACAGGAAGTAATGGATCACTCTGGACTGGACAGGGTGCTCATTAATTCACCCTTGGCCTGCTGGGATAGCAGACAGGGGGAGTTAAGTGCTTCATCTGTGTCAGGGAGAGCACTGGGCGAGTTGTTGCAGACTAACTGCAGGAAGGGCAATTCAAACAGGGGCCGCTGGATCCCAGCTTGTTTTTGGTGGCGCTTTGTGAGATGGGCCTCCGGCGCCGAGGGCTCTGCCCGTCCACCGTCTCACTGCTGCTGAGAGGAAACCAGAACATCCTCTCCCACGTCACACGAGACAAAGTGCCCTGCCGATTAGGAAGCAGTGACAAACAACTATCACCACTAAACTGTGAATTATGAGTTATCGGGTTGAGCGTATTGATTGGCTGTTAGATAGATGAGTTGTTTTACGGTGCTGCATATACACACCGGGCTTCATGGGCGCTGAAGCCTGAGGAGCAGCCAGCCTCTCATAGCGCTTCACACCAAAGCAGTCTCAATTTTAGGTGAAAACTAGAGCAAAAATATGATTATTTAGTCATTTTAGGAGAGAATAAACACAGTGTTAGTCTGAATTTTTCCTTATTATCAGCAAATTCAATGAAAAGACCAAAAAAATAATAATAAACTGATCCAACAAAATGTAAATCTGAGTCGTCAAAGCTTGATATCGAATTCTGTTATTGTCTGAAAATCTTTAAAAAACACACGAATTAGCTGCTTCTTGACTGTGAAGTCGCACATTGCAAGTCAATCCCACATAAACCGGATGGACTCGTGCACTAAATGTGTATTTATTGCACCAGTTGCACCACATATTAGCATTTATAGAACTACAGTCCTGCTGAGTCTGTGAAAAATGTAAATATTTTCATCCTCCGTTAGAATTAATACGTTTGTTGGTTTTAATCTGGTTTTGAGGGTTTTTGATGATTAGAAAAAGGTAGAACTTATTTAAACACACCAGTTCATTAAAAACCAGGGGACCCATGATGTTATTGGCTTCAGAATCTCCATCACTGCTCCCCTTTATAATTAGATATTATAATTAACAGAAGATGAAGTTTTTGCCCGGCCAGGCGGAGCGTGGAGCGCCCACAGCTCGCCTGGGCCGGGTTAACGGGAACACGGCGGCGTGGACGGAGTCCGATGACTGGCATCGCTTGGAAGTGCTGTACACACTCAATAAAATGTCTGAGGGATATGGCTTGAAAGTGAATTCCTGTGAAGCATCCTGCAGTCTCCAAACACCGACGGTTTGTTTTGACATCTCCCATTCAGATCACAACAATAGAGGGCACTCATCCTCTGCTATTGTTTGTCAATCCGAAGAGCGGGGGGAAGCAGGGAGAGAGGTAAGTACACAATCTGTCTCAACATGCTACAAGAGGCCTCTGAAGCCGGCGCTCCTCAGCCGCAGAGGGAAAGGCAGCCGCCTGGCCTCTGGCTGCCGAGTGCTTTAGGCTTCCTCAGTCAAATAAAAACACAATAACATTTACCTAAAGCTGCTGCTGCTGCTGTCGTCAGCTCTCACACACAGCCTCTCCTCAGACACTCCTCTGGCTGTCACGTCGCCGCCTGGCTGCCTGGCTGGTCCCCCTTCTTTAACCCAGGGCTAATTGGGTTATTACTGAAACATATTCATTCACTCCTTATTACGCCAGCTCTCATTTGTTTAAATTATGAGATCAAAATATGACTTCAGCCAGTTGATATAATGAAATTGAAATTAAAATGAATTAGTCTTTCTAATGGTTTCTCCTCAAGGGGACTTTGGGTATGTCCCACCCCGCTGCCCAGTCCACTGCCTCGTCACCTTCTGATTGGACACCGGGCTGCACTGAGCGCGCCGAGGCCCGGCCTGATGTGTCATATCTGAGTCAGGTGGCTGTGAGTCTTTTTTGTTTTGGCTACTGATTTATTTCATGTTCTCTCCTGTAGGATTTACAGAAAGTTCCAGTATCTCCTGAACCCGAGACAAGTCTACAACCTGGCCAAGAATGGGCCCATGCCGGGGTACGTGTGGTACAGGAAGTAGAACAGGATTTACCTTTTTACAAATATATTGTTTCATCTGTGCAGAACCATTATTTCTGTGGTTTCAAATATCAAAAAAATACACATTTTGAATTGTTTTATTGAAGTTTTATGGCAGGTTTTCTTTGCTGATTTGAACATAAACAAAAAAATACGACAGCTCAGAGGAGACGTTCACCGTCACCGAGTCGGTTTGTTTGAATTATGCCTCCTGTGTTTAGAAGAGATCACTTCAGATGCATTTTACTGCAAGTGAGGGGCAGTTTTATTTATCTGATGGAGAAAATAAGGTCCGAGAAGTCGTCCAAATTTGTCTTTGTAGGGTTTTTAAAACTAAAAAGACTAAATCTTTGCACAACACAAACTTAATTTGACGAACTTCTGTCACCTGACAAACACGGATAATAAGAGTTAATCTCTGAATAACTTGTATGAACTGATGATTACACCGAGCTGTAGAAACAGACGTTAGATTTGATCAGATAGAACTTTATTGATCCCTTTGGTAGGGAACCTCAGGGAAATTGTTGTACGAGCAACAACACAACAACAAACAGCATTAGTAATAATAACAACAACAATAATGGATAAGCTACAGTGCCAAAGTGCAAAAAATCAAATTCTTTAGGTCTGTCTATCACATTGGGTCCATAAACAGTTAATCAATTCCTGCTTAATGACAAATTATCAGTACAGTATGAACTGTTACGCTGCAGGTTGCAAAAATGCTCAGGAAGTTAATTATTGTATTTGTGCTCATAAGTTGGATTTATTGAAGTAAAATAAAGAATTATGCAGGAAAAACAACCTTTTTACACTGTGGCAGTGATTTGGGGCCCAAAAGATGAAAAATCTTGTTAGAAAATAAGCAACTATTATTATTATTATTATTATTATTATTATTATTATTATTATTATTATTATTAATAATAATAATAATAATAAAAAAGTGAGGGAATTATTTAAATATGTTCTTTGCTTTGCATTTAAACCACAACATTAGTCTTCACATGACTTATTGTCAGTGTCAAACCACAAAGTAAAGAAGGTAGAAACAAAAACAGAAAGGAAGGAAGAGGCATGGACAAAACAAAGCAGCCTCCATGTCCATGCCTCTGTTTGTTAGCTCGTAAATCATATCAGCTAATGATGTTCTGTTTACCAACACACTGCTGCTGCTGCTCACGTATAATAACCGCCATCACATGCAAGAGAGGCCTTTAGTATTAGAGCCTCCCTCACGCAGCACACACGCGCAAATGAGGTGAGTTCACGTATAACGAATCCTGGAGACGACGGCATCATGCTGCAGCGTCAGACGAGCAGCGGCTCCATATGCATAAGGCCGTATGTGAACGGAGAGCCGCCGCCGCCGACACAAATGACCGACGGATGGAGCGGGGCGAGCCTCTCCCCGTACCACATGTGATCACGCATACAGACAAGCAGCTCACGGCGGGCCGGTGGCGTGGGCAGCGCCAGGTTTCCTATGGTTCACATTTGTGATTAAGAAAATGAATTGATCATTTACATGCATAAGGATCCTCCAATTTGCCATTTGCGTCCAGCGGCGTCGAAACACACAGGAATGCCTCGGCGGCCGTGCTGCCACGTTGTTTGGCTTTGATTAGATCCGAAAACAGAATCTTTGCGACTCATAAAAAATAAACACACAGCAGCACACGCAGGGTTCACACACAAAAATAAAAACCCCTCCGTGAGGTTTCCACTGTCTGCACGGCTCTCGTGTCCGAGTTTTAGGACCGACCTGGTGCCCCGTTGACGTGCAGCATCACCTGCCTCCCCTTGAAGACGAATCCAGAGCTGCTCCCCACAGCTGAGAGCATTCCAGATGCCCTCGCCCCGCCGTAACCTTGTTAATATTTTGTCAAGTGCGCCCACCGCGGCTCACGTTAGCGGGGCGAGCGGTCACCGTCGGACACGGCGGGCCGAGGCAGCCGCACGCACTGCTGTCAATTAGCTGCCTCGCTAATGCAGTTACGGCAAATTAAGTGTGTGTTTCTTGGTATTTAAACATCCCCAAAGTTGCCTTTCATGTTTGCGGCCGTCTGTTTTGCGTCTAATGTGGTTTGCGGTCCCAGTTGGAGAGTAATTGAGCGAATCATTTACCCGCCATACGAGGCTCGGAGGCTGGCTCATTCAGTTAGGGCTTTGTTATTGTGAAGGAACGGAAGAAGTTGGACTGAACATTGCCTGTCATGATCCGATTAGGCCTCCAACAGGCAGGCTAGCTCGCCCGGTGAATGATTATCGGTGCGACATGTGTTGTTTCGTGGGATGAGGCGGCGACAGCAGGTTCGAAGACGTGTTGCGTGAACTCTTAAAAGACTGAGAAAAGATGAGACTGGATGAATAAACCTTTGTTGTTGTCCAAACATCTGAGCAAATCTGTCACCTGTGAGAGAGAAGACTGATTGTATTCATCAGTAAACCGACCTTTCAGATCCTGACAGAGGAACCACACCGCAGGGTTCCTACGCAAGTATGGAACGAAAAAAAATATTCATGTTTCCAAGACTATTACCACAGTTCTGTTTTCTAAGACATAAAATTATGAATATCTAAAAAAAAAAATAAATGGATGGATCTGTTTTTAGGGCTCTTAGCAGCGCAGCTAAAATATTTGTGTGAGCAAACAGTCGGCTCATATAACAGATCCATGGCTACGCGTCCCAGAAAACAACTGGGCAGATTGACAAGTTGAATGCCGTCTTCCAACCCATCGGCCCGCCCAGGTGTCGTCACGTTCCACTGCTGCTTCGACAGACAGGTGACGTCCACAAAGTTTGTGAGCTGTTCAAAACGTCTTGTATGGTCGTTGACAGAACTCGTAATGGGTAAATGTAAATACTCTGACGACTGGCTCATAAATCCCAAATATAAAGACTGGTTGGATAAGGATCCCAAATGGATAAAGAAAGCTAAATGCAGACTTTGTGTGAAATCGTTTGACATCTCCAACATGGCGGAGGCGGCGGTTGGGAGTCATATGCAGGAGAACAAAACACTGTCGTCTTGTCACCAAATCCTCTGAGTCACACCGTTTTTGGCTAAACCCAGCATGAGACCAAGTCCGACAACATCAAGTTAACCATTTGATTTTTTTTTTACCGAGAAGTCTGAAAATTAGAGTCTGGAAAAAGTATGAGATTATGAAATTTCAAACGTGTAGGAACCCTGACAGGGCTGCAGGGTGGAGTAGTGGTTAGCACCATTGTCTCGCAGCAAGACGGTCGCCGGTTCGTGTCCCGGTGGGGACACCGGAATCTTTCTGTGTGGAGTCTCCATGTTCTCCCCGTGCAGCGTGGGTTCTCTCCGGGTTCTCCGGCTTCCTCCCACAGTC